TACTTAAAATTTACATAATTTATACTGTGGTTACACAACAATCTAAGCCTTCATGTTTGTACTGATCAGTGTAATCTAGGTTTTATTCCACATAACAAAACTGCAGAAGCTTAATAAAAAGTTCTTTCTTACTCATTCAAAGTAGAAAGTGGACCAAGGATCTTCCCCTTGTAGCCACATCGTATGAAATAAGGCTGTGGGGAAAAAGGAAACGGAAGATCCACGCCAGCTGGAACTGCCTTGTCCAGGTGTCCAGGGATGACAAACATCCTTCCACCCACATTTCATTGGTCAGAACTAGTCACCTGGGGACTTTGCTGGTGGTCCAGTGGTAAGGAATCCACTTTCCAGCACAGGGGATGCGGGTTCTATCCCTGGTCAGGGAACTAAGATCCTACCTGCCACGGGGCAACTAAGCCCACATGCCTCAACTAGACAGCCCGCGTGCCACAAATTACAGAGCCCATGTGCTCTGGACACTGCGCACCACAACTACAGAGCCCACGCTCCAGAACTAGAGAGAAGCCTGTGTGCCATAATGAAGAGCCCTACCGCCACAACGAAAGATCCCGCATGCCACAGTGAAGATCCTGCATGCCGCAACTAAGACCCAATGCAGCCAAAAATTAAATAAATAAATAAATAAATAAATAAAAGGGAAGCTGGGAAATATTCAAGAGCACATGGAAATTTGGTGAGTGAAATGGTTTCTGCCACACTGGACCATATTTCCTAGGAAAACCTTAGCAATATCTACATTCGTGGATGAAAAAATAACCCACCATGGTGCAGGTATAAGAAGAACACAGCCTGCTTGCACAGGGCTGTCCAAGTGTACCTGGTACTTTGGGTACTCTGGGTTTTGTAAAGCTAAGCTGAAAGTCCTAGGTATCTTAATTGCAAGGTTAGAATGAACTTCTTTTCTATCTTAATTGCTGCTAAGATACAGCACTATATGACTTATTTTCATAGTCTCCTTCATTCTGCAAACATATTTAGAGCACAGAGCAAATAAAAGGTGAGCTTATTTAGACTTTAAAAAGAATAGAAAAATACACATTATATACTATGGCCACCAACCTCCTATGCCTAAAACCTTTTGCTTGTTGGCCTCCAGTCAAATAAGCTCAGTGGTCTGATGCTTGGTCCCTTGGGTATAGTAATCCATCATAAAACCATCACCCTTCCTTTAGCACAATTGGCAGTTACTGCTCACATAAAACCGAAGAGTAAGTTGCCATGGAGATAAAGCCAACTCTCCACTTTAGAATGGCTGATTCTTCCAAGTCATAACAGATATTACCAGAAAAAAAACATGAGGTACTCACAGAGACTGACAGCACCAAATCTGTGTTCTGTCATTGAGTAGCTAACCATGTTCACATTATCTTTTGATATAGTAACAAAGACACACATTGCACTCAAAGATAATCCAACATAATCACTGTTTACAAAATAAATCCTTATCTGTCTAAACAATGTGGAAACTTTAAATCGTAATATGTTTTCTACCTCTAATTAGTGCTTTATTAATGGGGTGACCACTCTTCCTTCACCTATGTGCTGAAAGTCGTTAGAGCTCTAGGAGACCATACGGATGGCCAGATGGGGTACTGTAATTTAATGCCATTATGCTAAGGATGAAGTAAAGGGTAAACATAATTTGCATTCTTTTCCATCCTTCCTGCATGCCTTTTATTAGTTTCATTTTTAATTCAGACATAAGAAGGGAAGATAATACCTTGCTACCAAGGCCCAAATGCCAACTAATTATTACAAGAGACTCCGGCCCTGACATCACAGGCCAAGCCTCTGAACATACTCCGTCTTACCCAGTGACCCCACCATGGTGATTAATAGGTTGAGTGCTAAGCCCTAATGAGTGTCAGATCTTAGATGTTCTCTAGGCTAATGTAATTAGCACTATGTTGAACACAATATTTCAGTTACTTGGTAGAAAGACTCATTATACTTCATAGTAAATTATGTGCCTTTTTGCTTTACATCTTTGAATTTATTTCATAATCATCAGCCTAAAAGGCCTCTATAAGTAGAGATTTTTCAAATATTAGAGAAAAATTTAAATACAATATTTTTAAATCAAATATTGATTTGCTCTTACAACAGCTCAGAGATACTTGTTGAAATGTAAGTTTCTGGACTCTACCAACAGAAATTCGGATAAAAAAGGGTTTGGGATAAGACCCAGAACTATGCATTTTTAATAACAGACCGATGATTCAGAAGCAGAAAAGCTGTGGACCATACTTGGAAAAGCACTGCCACTTTAGTAACAGGACCAAGGTCTGTGTCTTAGATTAATTGAACCTATCAGACTTTTTGTTTTAAATAGTTACTATGTTTCTGAAAAATATTATCTGCACCCACATAAGGGGAATTGATTTCATAATGAGATTACAGTTTTAAATGTACCAATATTTCTTGTTAGAAAAATTAAAAACTAATTATCAAGGTAAGACATGGATGTTATTTCCAACAAACCATGTAAGTGTATGAGTTCTCCATGCAACAGTGGACATGGCAGGTAGTAACAGTTCTATCCAGCAGGCAATGGACCTGGAATTACTTTTCTACTTTTTTTTTTTTTTTTTCCGGTACGTAGGCCTCTCACTGTTGTGGCCCCTCCCGTTGCGGAGCACAGGCTCCGGACGCGCAGGCTCAGCGGCCATGGCTCACGGGCCCAGCCGCTCCGCGGCATGTGGGACCTTTCCAGACCGGGCCAGGAACCCGTGCCCCTGCAACGGCAGGCGGACTCTCAACCACTGCGCCACCAGGGAAGCCCTACTTTTCTACTTTTAAGGGAAAGACCAAAGGGTAGCTGAATTTCTGATGACTTTTCTCCATAGCAGAGATGATGAACAAAATGTCTCAGGTCTAATGAGTAAGGACTCTAAGCACTTTTTCCAACTACTTACTCAGAACTCACCTAGATATTATCATCGTCAATCACTACATACTAAGTATTGTCATGTGTCTAGCATTGCTTTCTTAAAACAACTAGATACAAAATCCCCGTGGATCTTTAATTTACACCTATTTTATTCATCTATTACCCTAAACATTTTAAGGCAGTTTTTTCTAAATTGCTATTTTACCAAACTAAAGTTTTCTTGATGAACTTCAAAAGACTTCTCTTTTGTGTTTTTTTTTTTAACATTTATATTGTATGTATTAAAAATGGGAAAATCAGAGCACAAATAAAATAAAAACAGTTATTTAATGATAAATATATATTTACTTACTTATAATTTGGCATTGAGATTTATTGGTTTGAGAAAAGTAATTACGTTGTTCTTCATTCTAAGCCTCCTTTTAGAACCAGCCTGGGAGTGGAAGAATGTCGTATGACCAGCGTATAGTATCTACTGTTTCTACAGTCATCAGAGATAACACAGGTACAACCTTTAAAGCAACTGTCTAGTGGAGAATCTCAGAAAGTGTTTTAAAAGCAAAGGTTTTCACTGACATATCCAAATAGCACTTTAAAGTTACCTTTTGGTACTGGAACAGAAATGCATCAATTTAACCTAACCAAAAAGGTAATGGAGACATATAGTGGATTAATGTAAAATCACTGACATACAGAAAGTAGAAAATACCCACTAACACACACACACACACACACACACACACACACACACACACACACACGCAGGATTATTTGGGGATCCAATTTTTACCTTGGTAGTACAATAAAAAGATAATACCCTAAAGAATAATTATTATGTCACTAAACAAATGACCTTGGTGGGGCAGTACCTAAATCAGGTTTGTGGAAGGCCTTGCACAGACCTGGCCCTGCCACTTACTTTATGGAGGTAAGAGAAAGGCAAAAGAGCAGAGTGATTACATGTGTGGGGTCTCAATTTCTATCTGCCACTAATGAGCTGCTTGACCTGGGAAAAGTACTTTATCTTTCTATCTCCTTGGCTATATAATGGGAAGAAGTAATTCTTATTTCACAGAATGTTAAAAGAATCAGGTCATATGACACACAGCAAGCATTTAGAGAGGCCTTAACTGAAAGTAAATATGAACATGTGTTGGATATTATTCCTAACGGTATATCCCCATCACTATGAACCATATTATCCTCACCTGTAAAGTAAGACATTGAAAGATGATTTGTATAATTTCTTTAAGTGCTTATATTCTGAGTGTATATCTGTATCTTAAAGTCAGATATCCAGCTGAAAATGAAAACCCTAAAAATCTAAAATGAAAACCCTAAAATCTAAATATTTTAAGTAATGACTAAAAGAAATCTGTAGACGGTCTTGTCTGCTGTTAGGATTGATTTCAAGCAGATAGGTGACATAGCAATGAACTAATAATTCCAATAATTTTCCAATAATTTTTAACAGAAGTAATATGGTACTTATTTATTCATTATTCCTTATGAATCATACCCTCATTTGAACATGGAATGTAACAAGATAATCGTCAGGCAACCATTTAAATTTAAAAATGTCATATTTAGTAAGTACTACAGAGATAAGGAATTATTTTATTCACACGAACTTGAATGGATCCAGAATGTACATGATAACACTCTATTTTGCAACTTAAAGTGAATTACTTTCTAGGCTTATAGATTGTCAGCAACTTGAGTTTCATTCAGAAAAAAACAACTGTAGCAATATTAGGAAATGATACTACCATTATAGTATAGACTCTATTCCAAATTAAATGGAAAGGTACCACCCTTGAAAATTCCATAATTTAGTAAATCTTAGTTTGTGCAAAGACATCCTCATTCAAATAAATACTCTAGTAAGACTCAGAATAAAGTGAATAGTTTAAGATGCTGAATTACTAAAATCACTAAAACTTCAGTCCTAATTATACTTCTGGTTGGTTTTAAGTGAGGATAATATGAAAACAGGGCTTTAATGTACCAAGGCACTACATGTAAAATACTGTGGCATGGAGCAATTGCTTTCTTAAACCAGAATTGTATTTAATCCAAAGAACCTTACCTCCTGCGTACATAACAGCTAGCATAGTGGATGATATCCATGCTATTTCACTGTAGGTAGTGTTGAATATTAGCTGAATTTCTTTGAAGAAAACTGTGACAGCTTTGGGAAATGCATATGAAAATCCAATGGAGATAAAAGCTGCTCCAACCACTACCCAGCCCCATCCTCCATCAGGAGGTGGATGCAGCGGTGGGGAGCCTGCTGGGGGTGGCATTTCCACTCCTCTGTTTGGAATTCAAGTAACCTGCATTAAAAAAATGAAATAACAGTTTAAGCCATATTTCCATTTTCATAAATCACTCTTGGTAGTTATCAAAATAATATTATTATAATATTTTTATTCTATTAATTACAACTATGTAATTTTTTCATAAATATTTTTTAATACTCTGGTACTCAGAAAGTTATCAGAAAATTAACCAAAAAATTGGAGTGAGGTATGTAACTTTGTCATGGGTTAAAAATTGCAAGCATTTTGTTTGTGGAAACAACAATTACTCAAGGAAAAGTTAAGAATTCAGATTATACTAAAGTACCAACCAAAAAACAAAAGCTATCTCAGTCTGATTTCTAAGATAAATGAAGCTGTCATCACTTAGAATAATTTCTTAATCCAAAACATTTAAGATTTTCTATACAAAGGTTAAAAGGACCTTACATTACATCTGATGAATTTCACAGAATTAAATAGTAAGCATATTTTAGAATTTTTCCACTTTAAAAAAAATTATTTATTTATTTTTGGCTGCATCGGGCCTTCGTTGCTGCACGCGGGCTTTCTCTAGTTGTGGTGGGTGGGGGCTACTTTTCGTTGCAGTGCACAGGCTTCTCATTTCGGTGGCTTCTCCTGTTGTGGAGCGTGGGCTCTAGGGGCGCGGGCTTCAGTAGTTGTGGCACGTGGGCTCAGTAGTTGTGGCACGTGGGCTCAGTAGTTGTGGCTCGTGGGCTCTAGAGCTCAGGCTCAGTACTTGTGGCGCATGGGCTCAGTTGCTCCGTGGCATGTGGGATCTTCCCAGACCAGGGCTCAAACCCATGTCCCCCGTATTGGCAGGAGGATTCTTAACCACTGAGCCACGAGGGAAGTCCTCCACTTTTAATAATTGACAATACTTAAAGACATTTTAGCATAGATCTATTTTCTAAAATTATAGGATTAGAAATTGTGTGATTCTAATGAATTAATTTTAATGCACTTCCAAAACTGGTGATACCTATCATTTTATGAATGATACATTTTATGAATTCTTCATAGCAATGATATGCTCCCAATCAAATGGATGGTATGTTATTTTTATTCAAAGAAAGGGACTTTCTTTTTGGATATGCCTAGGAACACTTAACTGCTAGCTTTATGGTATAGAGCACCCACTCTCTTGTGGAAGAAATGATCACAAATAGCTTAATACAACTGAAATTAAATTAAAAAAATCTTGGTTCCCTAACATCAATGTTTCTTTGTAGAGCGATGCTGCTTGCTTGGCCTTTAGCTGTAATTGTCAATATTTCTCAGCATCTTCCTTTTACTACTCTCATTCCATTTGTGAATATTTTTCAATTGGAATGTAGAGGAAAAAGGAAACGGTTGTCTGTTGGTAAGACAATATAGAAAATAAGCAAATAAAAGCTAAATTTGCCACTAATTCAGGAAACCTACCAAAAAACTAAACAGGTATCTATGAACAGACACAGAGGTTTAATTTTTATTTGATGTCAAACTGTATCTAAGGTATTTTTGGTGATCTTCTATACGCACCTTCCAGATTTTGAGTGAAAACATTCTTTAAAGTTTTCTAATTTGTCCATAGTTCTACCCAAGGACTTTGCCTTCAGAAACTCATATAGGCAAAATGATAAAAATGAAACTTAAAATAGGTAGAGCACTGTTTCCCTAGAATAAATACTATGATGATGAGTATTAGAATGGAAGTAACAATACGGACAGCTACTACCTTCACTGTTTTTCTGAATGTTAATTTTGGCAAATATACTTAAGCCTTTTTAACATAATATTTTACAGTATTTCATAGATGGAGGGAAATCGATATAATCTGCAATTAACAGGGCTGAAGATTAAAATGCTTATTTTACATTATGTGAGTCAGGCATATCTGCAAGGAAGTTCTCATTCAGCTTTGATGACATTTTTTTCTTGAGTTTTTTCAGCTCTATTGAGGTATAACTGACAAATAAAAGTGTATAATGTATTTAATGTGTAACATGATTTGATATACATATACATTATGAAAGGATTCCCACAATCAAGTTAATCAATACATCTATCACCCCATACATTTACTTTTTTTGGTATGAACACTTTATATTCTACTTTCTTAGCAAATCTCAATTATACACCACAATATTATCAACTATAGTTACCATATTACACATTAGATCCTGAGAACTTATAACTGAAAGTTTGTACACTTTTACTATCCTCTCTCCATCTCTACAGTGTTATTATGTAGAATTTGTCTTTCTCTGTCTAGCTTATTTCACTTAGCATAATGCTCTCCAGTTTCATCCATGTTGTCCCAAATGGCAGGATTTCATCATTTTTTAAAGCTGAATAATATTTCACTCTGTGTGTGTTTGTGTGTGTGTGTGTGTGTGTATACATTTCTTTATCCATTCATCTGTCAATGGACACTTAGTTTGTTTCCATATCTTGGCTACTGTGAGTAATGCTTCAGTGAACATGGGAATACACATATCTCTCTGAGATAATGATTCCCTTTCCTTTGTATATGTACCCAGAAGTAGAACTGCTCAATCATATGGTAGTTCTATTTTTAATTTTTTGAAGAACCTCCAAACTTTTTTCCATAGAGGCTGAAACAGTTTACACTCCCACCAACAGCATAAAAGCCTTCTGTTTTCTCTACATTCTTGCCAGTATTTGCTATTGCTTGTCTTTTTGATAATAGCCATTCTAACAGGTATGAGATAATATCTCATTTTGGTTTTGTCTTTCATTTCCCTAATGATTAGTAACGTTAAGCACCTTTTCATGTACCTGTTGGCCTTTTATATATCTCATTTAGAAAAATATCTATTCAGGTCCTTTGCCCATTTTAAAATTGGGTTATTTGTGCTTTTTGCTATTGAGTTGTATGAGTTCCTTGTATATTTTAGATATTAACCTCTTATTGGATATGTGGTTTACATGTACTTTTTCCCATTTCATAGGCTGCCTTTTCATTTTGTGGACAATTTGCTGTGCAGAAAGTTGTTAGTTTAGCTTTCGTTTAGTAGTCTCACTTGTTTAATTTTGCATTTGTTGCCTTTGCTTTTTGATGTTAAATCCAAAAAAATCATCACCAAGGCCAATGTCAAGGAGCTTACCCCCTATATTTTCTTCTAGGAATTTTATGGTTTCAGGTCATGTTCAAGTCTTTAATCCATTTTGAGTTGATTTTTGTGTATAGTGTAAGGTGGGGGTTCAGTTTCATTCTTTTGCATGTGGATATCCAATTTTTCCAGCCCCATTTATTTAAGACACTATCTTTTACCCCATTGTATATGCTTGGCACCTTTGTCAAAAATTAATTGACAAAATACATGGATTTATTTCTTGGCTCTCTATTCTGTTTCACTGATCTATGTGTCTGTTTTTATGACGATACCACACTGTTTTTATTAGTTTGGTAATAGAGTTAGAAACCAGGGAGTGTGATACCTCCAGCTGTTCTTTCTCAAGATTGCTTGGCTATTCGGGGCCTTTTGTGGTTCCATACAAACTTTAGGACTGATTGTTCTATTTCTGCAAAAAATGTCATTAGAATTTTGATAAGGATTGCATTGAATCTGTAGATTGCTTTGGGTAGTATGAACATTTTAACAATATTAATTCTTCCAATCAATGAGCACGGAATATCCTTCCATTTATTTCTGTCTTCAATTTCTTTCATCAGTGTTATAATTTTCAGTGTATAGATCTTTCACCTATTTGGTTAAATGTATTCTTAAGTATTTTATTCTTTCTGATGCTATTGTAAATGAAATTGTTATCTTAATTTCTCTCTCCAATAATTCATTGTTAGTGCTTAGAAACACAACTGATTTTTATATATTGGTTTTGTATCCTGCACCTTTACTGCATTTGTCGATTAGTTCTAACAGTTTTTTGGTGGAGTCTTTAGGGTTTTCTATAATATAAGGTCAAGTCATCTGCAGACAGACAATTTTACTTCTTCCATTTAAATTTGGGTGTTGATTTCTTTTTCTTGCCTAATTGCTCTGACTAGGATTTCGAGTACTTAATCACCATTTGTTTGTCCTGATCTCATTAACTGATACTTATAGTTCTGGATTTTCCTTCCAGTTTAATGCTGAACCAAGGAATGGAATAATCCTCGCGTAGGTTTTTGGCATATCTATTGGCTTTTTCTATTGCCTTCTTTTATTTCTCCTTTTGGATAATTGTGGTAAAGGTTCTATTCTATTTTTGAATTAGATCAACAATTACATTTTATTTTATTTTATTTTATTCACTTTATAACACTGATATAGTTATAAAGCAAGAATCAGCAAACATTTCCTGTAATGCATGAGATAATAAATATTTTAGGCTCTGCAGGCTGTATGGTCTCTCTCATAACTACTCATCTTAATAATTTTAGTGCAAAAGCAGCCACAGACAATACTATAAAAAAATGGGTGTGGATGTTCTAATAAACTTTTATTTACAAATTAGACCAAGGCTTATTGGTTGCTGATCCCTGTAATAGAATACCATTAGAAAACCAAGAAAAGAAAGAAATTGTACATAATCACACTAACCTTACACAATATTATTAGTAATTTTGCATATCTCTTTTCATTATTTTTCTATATTCCTATATTTCTGATGAATTTAAATAATATTGTAATCATATAGATCATACAGATCTAATTGCATATACTGCTTTTTCATTATTATTTTTTATTATTTGTCTTTAAGTTCTTTTTCTTTTTTTGAGTAGGTAAGTGGCACATTCCAATTTTTACAAAATATGGAAAATGCCAAAGTATAAACCAGAATAAAATACTATCAAAGAAAATCTTCAATTGCCACCATGGTTTACAGAGAAAGTATCTTCTCCCTCCCGTTTTTTCTTTTGATATCCATTTACATCTGTTTTTATACCCATACATTTAGACGTGCTGTTTGGAAAGCCACCTCAAATTATTGTTTCAGAAGTTGGGGTAGAAGTGACAAAGGCATCTACCTTTTTATTAGGGACTGTGAATAGAAATGTTTTATAA